TGCATGTTCAAGATACAGGTGATCACGGACGCACGGACGCACACAGGGCAAAACATAAGTCCCCGTTTTCGGACTGCGTCCGAACGGGGACTAAAAACAGCATTGTAATATCAATAGTGTCAAATTTTACATGCATGAGCATATTTTACTTTTGGCCATAGCAAATATTTTCTTATAAGTTGAGGAAATCCGAAGAGTGCATTTTGCATGACTTCTGTTATTATTTTTTTTATCATAGAGAATGTACAGCAAAAATTACTCGTGCCAAGTGTTGCCTGAACACGTTCCGCTGCAACTGTGCATCATATTATGTTACTTGAGGGCAATCTTGAAAGTCTGCCACTATGACCCCTATGATCACTGTATTGTATCACTGTGACAGTGTTTTGCTCAAATGTTTCCAAATTATTTACTGCACAGCAAAGCAAAAAATGCTCTTGCAATAACCCTAGTGCAAATGTTGTGCTGAACACAATTCGTTTGCTGTATGTGTTTTCTGCAGTAAGTTGAAGGCGATCTGGAAAGTCTGACATTGAGCGCAGTATTTTATACAAACAAGTCCTTACAGATCAGAGACGAGACTCAACAAACAGTAATTTCCCTTTGATTCCACTCATTTCACTGGAAATAAAAAAAATATATCAGGTTGCATTCAGTGAACTGTAAGTAACTTTATATGTGCTAACATTACAAATAAGGGGAATTGAATGATGTGTTTAGAGGGCAAGAGTTGTAAAAGTTAGAGCAGTTTAATATTTAGTGAAATTGTGGAATTTATCTATATAACTATAAAAATATTAGTTTAACTGTAACACAAACTTAGACCTTGTCTGCTCTTGTGGTAGCAGAAAACTGCAAATGACATTCAAACATATGACACGTCAATGAAATCGATCAAGTGTCAAAGGGGCGTATCTATAAAGTTGTATTGTTCGGCTTGGAGTGTGCCTTCTAAGCCAATATGACACGTCACTGACCGCACAGAGATTTGCTGTGACACAACTAGTTATGCTAATTCACTTGCTCGTCATTGACGCATTATTATAGTTACAGAATTTGTAATTTGGTAAAAGAAAATTCACATTTTATAAACAAAATAAAGTTAAAGGAGTGTCCTGGGAGTATTGGATGCATATTAAAAATTAATTCAAAATTTAAGATTAGCTTTTCAAACAAGATTAGCAACTAATATTTGCTGCTATTTTAGATACAAAACAACAATGGTATTGAAGTTTATAATACTCACTGAAAATTTATTTGATTGTATAAAATTGGTGGAAAGCTGAAAAGTAAATTATCATTTAAATACCAAAACTAATTAGATAGCCGCACTTGCATTGTATGTACCAAGATTCTTTGAAATAAGATGAGTTGTACTTGAGATATTGATGAAAAAGCTGTAAACTAATTATTATGCAAATCAGGTAATGAATATGCAAAGATTTCAATGTAAACCTAATAAGGTCTGTGCATTGTTCTTGAAACTGTATACGATACATCAAATTTCATTGAAATGGAATGATTAGTACTTTTAGACTAAAACGATAAACAAATCACAAAAAGTTGCGTTTATACAGTGTTGGGTTTGCACCTGACAACACAATTTGCATAACATCGAGAAGACGAGAATGTCCCTCTGATTCATCGTGAATATTTTTGGTTGAGTGATATTTTTGACTTCTTGTTGAAAACCGCAAGTCCGATATTGTACATATAGGTTCCTTGGGAAGACCTCTCATGATATCTTCAATTCTCTAGTTGAAATGTGCAATGCAGAGTTATCTCAGCCGAGAGGCTATGGAAAAAATAACTCCATATATGTACATGTACTCGCCTAAAATATGTGTGGGTTTATCTTGCACCTGTGATATCTCTTTTTTTGCATGGATACATGTACTTTTAACAAGAAAGTACTGGTATTGGCACAATGACATTAACAGCTTTTGTGTATTTCCCGTAATTCAAAGTTCGGTTAACTAATAACTAAAATTTTAGTTACTAAATATAAAAAAAATCTATGTTGCCTATAACTAAAGTTCTGTTAATTGTACATTGAATTACAATTTGGGCATGATTTCTCAAAAGTGGGTGTGGTTTCTGAAATATGGGCATGGTCATCTTTGTAATTATGTGTTCATAACTCTATGTCCTTAACTCGAACAATTCAGCATCTTGGATATTAATATTATCAATAGCAGGGATTGTTTCTTCATACCGATTTTGTATGTAAAAACTATGTTGTTGAATTCCAACAGGTGAGTGACAGTGCCCAGTCTTATCATTCAAATACTTGCGACCTAGAGTGAACTTTTCTCATACTTGGGTCACACCCCGGGTACTGTCACTTCTATTTGTTTTTTGCATGAACTGCTTCTTTGCAGAATAATAACTTCTAGCTCACTACCTGTTTGTCTCGCCACATAGTCATCATTTCATGTAGCTGCAGACACGTGATATGATTTCCAATTATAACTCTAGACAGTCACAACAATAAGCCAATAATTGCTCAATGACCAACTGTTATCATTATAGCCCCCCCCCCCCAAAAAAAAAAAATAACTACTAAAACCATGGCATTATGACTGTACTCCCTGGGATGACCGGGAACTCATCAGTGTGTGAATTCGTCATTGTTCTCTGTTTAATTGCATTGAGTTTTGTTTTTACAGTCATCTAAATGCAAATTTAAGAAAAACATCTAAAACAAAGCATGGTGTCCCAGCATGTTAGAAACAATAGTATAATGAACCACTGCCTATGTAATATAACATAATAAACTATAAAAGCATTAGCATACCTGGTGATGGGTTTACTGTTGACTTACATGTCTTGTTAGTTTTTTGGTGTATTTTCGATAAAATAAAATATTACGTGAATAAATGGTGTAAATGGCTAAAGCAGGGTTATCGTGAACAAGCAAGAGACTTGTTTCCCTTGTAGGAGTTTTCAATGACGTCCAAAATTGGCGTAATTTACATACATTGTATGACAGGATTTGATGGGTGAAGAAATATAGGCTGGTTATACCCAAAGAAACGAGCCAAAAAATGAACAACAGACTGTATGCAATCTAGGTTTACTTCTCAACCATATGCATGTACCCACTGTATTGTACTATTATATACATGAGAGTACGTTTGTTTACAGAGGTCATAGAAAAAAGAAACAGATTAAAATAAACCGCTTTGGGAAAAAAAACTTTATACATATGAGTGAATACAAGAGCTCCTCATCCTGTTAGCATTTTACCACTGGTCTATTCTGGCTACTTTCTTTGTGCTCAGTTTATTGCCCTTCTTCAATTGCAAACATGTGTGCTATATATTGTGAGATGCACTGCATATTTAATGTGGCCGCTGTCATTAAATCACCCATCAAAACTATGGTACATATGTGGTACTAGTAATGGTCATATGAATTCTGTATTTTTCTGCAGGGCTAGTATGAACATATTAATTGAGGTTTTGTAGTTAAGTTGGCAATAAGATATTTCTGCTCCGATAAGTGATCTTATCAGTTACCGGTACTTGTTACTTCTTTTTGTAGTATGTAGATCTAATAAGCATATTTATTTATAATTCAATTCAAGAAAATAAAAGAATTGAGAAAAATTTGTACATTCCAACGTGATGAACAGTAAGGCATAGGGATACATTGTGATGTGTTTCTATTTTTTTACTAATCATCATATCTGGGAGATGTCATGTACGTGTTATGCATTATTATTATACATCTAGCACTGTATCCTCATATAAGTTACAGTATACCATAAGTTTCCAGTATTGCAAAAATATCTGCATCTTATCCTATTAGGAAATGAAAATCCCAAATATGGAACGATTTTTAAGATTTAAAGAAATTCATGGTGAAAATGTTTCAATAATGTTCACCATTTTCTTCAGTTATGGGCATTGTACATTGAGCAGCTGGATCAAGAGGATGTATACTACATGTATTACGGTTATTATGAGCATACAGCAATATACAGGGTTGATACTTTTGCTGTACTAATTTTGTTCATACTTTAAGCATAATATATGCATGTTTGCTGCAAACATTTCATTGCATGATTGGTTTAACAAGAAAGATGTGTAAATTGCTGGATTTACCCAGAATTCTATGTAGAATTAGCATGCCATATTTTGGCACTGCAATAGAAAATCATGTTGTTTTCAATTAAGTAAATGATTGGATAAAATTTACCACCAAAATCTGTTGCTAGACAAGGTTGAAATTGGATGTCATCTACATGTACTGTACATCTTTGTCTTAATGCATAACTCAGTGGTGAAAAGCAGAATGAATATTCGTATTCATTAGTATTCATACAAATTCACCACTCAAAATGTGTTTCTGTGGTGAGGTACAGTATTGATCAGTAGCAAATTTGTGCCTGCCCCCTCCCTCCTTGGAGTGTAA